GCACCAGGTCTCCCCCAGGCCTGTTCTAAAAATAACACAACTCACCAGTGAGCTGAGAATAAAATTCGATATGCGTTTCTAATTAAATGTAATTATTTATACTGTCAAATTTGTTTTCCCATATTGAAGTTGAAAAGGTAAAGTTCAAAGGTCACTATTGTGCGCATGACAACATTTCAGCGTTCATGGAGAGTAAGCTAGGGGGCGCAGCGAACACGAGGGCTGAATGCGGTTTCTTACCCCGAACAACATGTCAGAAAAAAGAAAGAGAACTTATCATTTTCACAGTGAATGGGAGGAAGAGTTCTTTTTTACTACTGGGAAAGAAACCTGCGTGTGTTGAATTTGTGGGGGCGACCGTGGCGACGGCAAAGAGAGACACTTCACTACGTGTCGCAAAAGCTAACATGCTAACTACCCACCGGGCAGCGCGCTACGGGCAGAAAGAGCCCGTGAGCTAAAGGCAGCTTCAGGTAAGAAGCAGTGTGACGAAAAACTCCCGAAAAACAACCGAAGCCTCGTTTAGAGCTACACATTTTCTGATAAAGAAGAAGAAGAAGGCATTTTCAGACGGAGAAGTTTTCAAAGAAGCAATGATGATAATTGCTAACACTGTACTTAAAGACGAGAACAAAATGGAACCGATCGAATCTCCACTCTCTCTCCGATGTCCAACCGGGGACATCTACGATGGCTAGACGAGTGTCGGCTGTGTCCGGTAACTTGGTCGATCAGCTGGACCGGGATCTGGCGGAGTGCAGGTGGTTTAGCATCCAGTGCGACGAGTCCGTGGACGGCAGCAGTACAGCGCATCTGTTGGTCTTTATCCGGATGGTGTTTGAGGATTTCTCCTGACACTACTGCCCAAAGACAACCACGAGGGGAGAGGACATTTATATCGCGGTGAAGGAGTTTTTCGTGCAGAAAAAGGTAGCATTGGAAAAGCTGGTAGCGGTGAGTACAGACGGGGCTCCTGCTACGATCGGCGGACATACAGGTTTCATCGCTCACTGTCAAGGTGACCCAGACTTTCCAAAATGTCTCCATTACAACTGCGTCGTTCACCAGTAGGCGCTATGTGCAGAAGTGATCGGCTTTGGGCTCGTGATGACTCCCGCTGTGAAAATCATCAACATCATCCGCTCCAAAGCGAAACAGCTCAGGATATTGAAGGTGCTATTGGAGGAGATGTCCGCTGAATACACACAGAGATCCGATGGCTCAGCAGAGGACGAGTTTACTTCGTTTTTTGTCACCTTTTGGGTGAAATCAGAGAGTTCATGCAGTCCAGAGGTGAGGACGTCTCGCTGCTAGAGGACACAGAGTGGACATTTGACCTTGCATTTTTAAAGGACATTACTGGGAAACCAAACCACTTGAACTGCGAGCTGCAAGGCAAAGGTAAGACTGTTGTTGATGTCAGAATCAGAATCACTTTTATTGCCAGGTATGTGAACACACACGAGGAATTCGACTCCGGTTTTTCTTAGCTCTCTTAGTACAAACAGTTAAAAAAAACAAAAACTAACATAGACATAAACAAGAACAAAGACAAAGACAAAAAACAAAACTTATGTAGGCTACATGTAAAAAAAGCTAAATAGTTTGGTGCAATGGTGCAAAGTGCATGGATGAAATAATAAATATACATATACACTGTGCACAGTATATTGGTATGTACAGATATTTTACAGGTGATGTTACCTGTCCGGTTTTAGCTGTTCGACACAGAGACAGCCTGAGGGAAAAAGCTGTTCTTATGTCTGGATGTTTAGGCGAGAAGCTTATCAAACTGGTAGCCCTTCATATGACTCAGTACACATGAAGTAGCTTTCAGTTTCAAAAAGGTTGGTGACCCCTGAAGACTGTATTGATGAAAATGTTACAAAACATAATTGAATACTGACTCATGTAAAGCATTAGCTTGAGTGCTGCTGGATTTTCCTCAAAAATGAGATTATCCTGCTGCTCTCCCATCACCTCCAGGGTTGGAAGATTATCTGACGCAGGCCTCAGGTGCTTGAGCTGAGCTGTTGCAACTGAGTGAGCTCCATTACTTTCTCTGTAATCAGATAGCTTTAAAAAAGAATTCAATTTTAATACCATTCTCTTATCGTATGACTTGAAGGCTCAGTAACTTTGACCTAACTTGGGACTGTATGTGAATGCAACAACCAGCCATGTGCACACTGTGGTGTTTTCCCTGCACTCCCATTGACGTTGTTAACATACATAATATAATTCCACCTGATGATTAAAAACTTGTCGTATAATCCATTTGCTCATTATATTATTCCAGTCATCGGATGAGTGGATCTCTGCAAGCAGCTGAGAATAAGTCATGCTGCCGTGTACCTGACTGTAGAGTCAATATTAGCATCTGGAGGAGAAGATTACACACTTTGTCAGATATTGACAGTTTCTGCTTGCTCTTGCAGAACATCTCAATCTGATGGAGCAGGATCATTTTTACTTTGTAATTCATGGCACTTGACACAACTGAGGCTGAAATGACAGGAGTGAAGCTCGTCGTCATCTGTTTCACGCTGCTTCACGGTAAGATGCATTTTTACTGATTTATTTGACCATATTATTTTATAAGTCTGTGGCTATATGAATACTCATAGAGCTTTTGTGGTCAGCTCCTATCAGCTAAAGATCTACACCTTTCCCATCGACATTCAAAACAGCTCCCTGACCTTTGGCCCATATCTACACTTTGGTAAGTGCCTACACAGAAAATACACATATCGGATCATCTGACCTTTGAACTGTGTTATTCAAACTCTCAAAAATCTTAGAGAATTAAATGCAGCTTTGTTTTACTATAAAATGTTGAGCGGAGATGAACTCTGGGCTTACTTTGTCAATTCTTAATGACTTGGGGCATAAAACATGTGTCAATAATGACATATGAACATAAAATCATCCAAAAACGGTACATAATACATGGATAATACAAAATACATGCATAATACAAAATACATGCATGATTTAAAATATTGCATTCACTATTATAATTGCCAGGTTTTTTTAATTTGCAGATCACTAACAACACTTCACTTGGGGTAATAAAGGAATAGTTTAACATTTTGTGCTTAGTCATGTCGAAGCATGTTATTTAGATGTTTCTTACTGAGCTGGATGTGGTGGTATATATCAGGTCTTTATGCTAAGCTAACCGGCTGTTTGCTGTAACTTCATACTTACTGTTTAGACATGTGAGAAAAATCTCAGCAAGGCAGCTGAAGATGCAGCCAAAAATATTAAAGCTGTAGTTTCCACTGTAAGGAAGAAAATAAAAGAATTCTCCCCGTCGGGGAATCGAACCCCGGTCTTCCGCGTGACAGGCGGAGATACTGTCCACTATACTAACGAGGAAGGGTGCATTGTGGGTGATCTGGAATTTGAAAAGTAATTCCCTGTACTTATAAAGACTGATCTGTAAGATATCTGGGATTCTTACCACATCCTTCCAGTGTCCTGGTAATCCGTCCAGCAGTTTTTGCATAATCCTGCAAAGAACAGGCAAACAAATGAGACAAATAAATCTATTTTTATTTTTTTCATTTTTAACAGCCCCATCAATGAACAACAACATGAGGCACATCTCAGTGAGAGATCTTCAGAACACTCCTCCAGAGAAACCCTGTGTGGAGCCGGGCCTGGAGGAGCTGAGGAGGCTGAGCAGAGACCTCAACTGCAAAACAACTGCGCCGCCCCCCCCCCCCCCATTTTTTGCTGTTGTTATACTTAATGTTCCATTCATCAATGGTTGTTGAACACATTTTTACACATTTCAATCATGTGTACTTTTAGAACATCGTTTTTTTTTACACATTTCAAACATCTGTGCTTTTTTTTAAACACATCACATCACCACAATCGCGCCCCCCCCTGAACAACTCTGACGCCCCCTAGTGGAGGCGCGCCCCACACTTTGAAAAGCCCTGTTCTATAACAATCAGAAACGGACCTATGTCAGATAATATCCACTGGATGGCGCCATTAGCCAAATAGGTGCATGCATGAAGTATAATTAATCTGCATTTGTTCAAGTTGTATATTAAATATGTCACTTTCAGGAGGGACAGTCTCTGTCTTGTGTGTGCAGATGTAAATGATTGTTGGTGGGCTGATGGCCCTTACACCCTTTGCTCTAGGTGATTGGACCAATATGACATTTTATATCACTGTATATATATTTACAGTATAGGATGTTTTAGGTGGATGCTCAGAAATATATGATATAATTATATGGACCATATGACAAAAAAGATTTTCAGGATAAATAATTAATTTTATGTTTGAGACAACACTTTGGATAAATATGTCATGTTGTTCATACAACATGTATTCACACTGATGTACATTGTTCCCAGACTCCTCCCACAACGGTAAAAATACGGTAAATGCTGCAGAATCATCTCTAGTTTACTGAGTGATGAAGAAAGTAAAAGTTTCCTCCCTGTCGGGGAATCGAACCCCGGTCTTCTGCGTGACAGGCGTTGTTGTGGTCAATAAAACAAATTATTGGTTGTATTGTCTGGAATTTGAAAAAATAATCTCTCCTTACATTGACAACTTCTTGTTCCCTGGATGTACAAAGGCTTCCGATAGAATCAAAGTTCACTGTACTGGGATGAATCCTAATCCCAACTAGGATTTTTAAAGTGTGAAGGACTGATCCAGGTCGTCCACTTGTCCTCTTCAGACGATGTCCTCCAGCTCCTTGTTTAGGGTCATGACGCTGCTCAGGTCAGATGAGACCTGAAGCAGAATGTGGGCCGACCCTTTTGTACACCTGAGCCACCAGTAAGAAGTTTTCATAACTTCTCTGAAGATGTTAATCCTTCCCCTAAAATGTTTTTATTTATTATACAATCTACAATCGAATTAAAGTAAACAGCAGAGGAATTGATATTGAGAATGATAATGTAAAGTAATTGTTAGATTCTACCCAATTTACCCAGAACTTCACAAACACAGTGACACTCATGAACAGTCTAGCCAGTCTTTTATTGTCGACATCAGTATATTTAACATTTTTAATAATAATTATAGACATTTTCATCTGTAGTGCACTTAAAAGCTTCACACTCCTCCTCCGTGTTAAAGGCAATCCAAGGTCAAACAATCTGCTGAGCTCCGGGCTTCGTTTTGCTCCATTGGAGTCATTTGGTCGCTTTGTTCAGGAGTGATTAGTCGAAGAGTTCGGAGTTTCCTTTAAAAAGCAGCCTGGTTATAATGCAGACAGACGTGGGAGCATGTTGTCTTGGTGATGCTCTGTGTCTGTTAGATGAGGGACATGAACGACACACTTACTACTTTAACCAGCGTCTTGTGAGAGACAGTTTGTTCACATAATGCAGAGCCTGTAGAAGAGGGTGTGTATTCTGGGATGTTACTTATTTAAAGATTTCATACATGATTGTACCTGGGACAAAATATCCAGGGCAATAAAAATCTAATCAGAAATGTTTGATTAAATCAGTAGGTTAAAAACCTAATTTTCTATAACTTCATTCAAAGAACATATTATTAATTCTTCCCACAAAAAAATAACTGTTGGATCAGTCTGACCTCAGGCTGCTGGTTGTTTGAACTCACTACAGAAACAATGAAGAGATAAAGCCCTGAAAGAAAAAAGTCACAAGACATTTTCTGTTTTTAACTCTGGAGGAGTTTCAGAGCAGAAACTCTTTAAACGAGTAACAGAAAATAACACGTGACTAAATCAGTGGTTCCCAACCAACGCATCAGGATCAAAATGCTCCTCAGAGAAATCTAAAGTGTATTGTGAGGATTTAAACGGAAAAAAAAAAAAATAGAATTTCTCCGCATTTTCTATTACTTATCCATGACTTTGTCTTTATTCTTTTTAAATAATGGGTGTTTTACATCTTTGGGTTTCTTAAATTCCTTAAATTAAAACATTTGAACATACAGACATTGGAGTGGTTTCAATGTTCCCATTTAAGTCTTAGCAAAAGAGCACAAAGAAAGTTGGGAACCACTGTTCAATATGACTACGATCTGTCGGAGGAAAAAAAAAAACACTGATTCGATTTCATTATGAGAAGTGATTAATTATTCTGCAACGAATTTAAGAGTGTGACAATAACACTGATAGACTCAAATGTTTTGGACTAAAACTCTTCACAAAGTAGTGCCACCCAGGTGACAGGAGCTTCATTAAAGAAACAGTGAAGGTTCAAACAACTGAGCATCTGAAAAATCCCCCAGAGAGCGAAACATCGTCCCGACTCTCCAACAACAGACAGGACGTCAGTGCAAATCACTGGACTCTACTATTCCACAGCTGTTAGAAAATAACAGGCAAATGCTGATTCGGCTGGTGCACACCATTTTTCATGGTCACATGTACAGCAGGTAGACACACACACACACACACAC